ATTTTTTTACTTTTTTATATATTATAAAAAAATAAACAATAAATGTAAAATAAAGAACAAAAGCAAACATGTAAAAATTTCAGGGCCGTGGACCGTGGACCGTCTTATTAAAGCGTTTTTTTATAAAGAAAACAACTAATTTTATATTCTAAGTAAATACTTGTACATTGCCATTTTTCTTTATACAATAATTTAATTTATTTTTTCACGCAATACTTGTTTTCTTTTTTTCCCTAGATTTGTAGCGTTTTAAACTCTGTAACTTGTTATTAGTTATTTTTTTTATGCACTATTAATGTATTTTTTTACTTCATTTTTATTGAACTTTCAATTGGTCTAAAAATTATTAGATTTAAAAAAAAAATTTCGTTGCTATAGACAAATGCTAGTTTTTAAGGTTACCATATGTGGTTATTTTGAAAGTCTGAGTCTTAAAATGAATGGTTTAATCTTATCAACATGTTCACCAAGTTTCATGCTTTTACCCTAAAAAACGCTAAGTTTGCACCAATCGACTGCTCAATAACGACTAAATGACGTATTTTTATAGTCATTTTTTTGTCTTGTTGAGCGATAAAAAAAACCTATTTTAAACGTAATTTTTAGCGGAGCAAGGTATCAGCTTAATAAGACTTTTAAAATACGTTTTTTTTTTCACTTCTGCCATAGACAAGATGCATTTAAGACAAAAAATTATTTTATTTTGGCCGCTCGTGCCAGCTAAGTTAGCCAATGGTAAAGCTAAACCAATAGTGAAGCTAAAACATGATGTTATTATGTTTTAGCTTGTCTATTGGAAAACCTAATGTTGAATATATGTACATAGATGTTGCTGTTTTTTCGGTCTTACGAGGGGAGGGATCTAACTTTATTACTTTATATTAAGTAAAAATATTTTATTATAGTACATTTTTGTGTATTTGTTTTTAGTCATCTTTAGCTGCTTCAAAGATCAAAGACGAATTTTCGTGCTTTTTTATATATAATTCTGTTCTAAGTAACATTTTTTTGTTTAATATATTTTAAACAGAAAAGTTTAAGTTAAACTTTTTTTGAGTGCTTAAATAAAAATAATATTTATAATTATTAAAAAATATGTTTATTTGTTAATATAGATACTTAAACTTTTGTTTGTTGCTATAAAGTTGTTTTTACGCAAAAAAACGTTTTAAAAAAACGTTGCAATTTCAAAAAATGTTGCAATTTCAAGAAAACGTCTAAAAAGCGCTTTCCAGTATAATTATGAAAAACTTCCGCATGTTTGTAACAGCGTTAAAATGTTTTTATCCGCGTTAAAATGCTTGTAATCGCATTAAAATATGGAAAAGTTTGATCAAGACTCTTAAAGCATTTTTTATGATTTCATATTTTTCAAATATGAAAGTATAAAACCTCAATATTCTTTATTGAATCTTTTACATAGCTCACTGTAACTTCTCATGTTTTAAAATATAGCAAGATCAAGATATTCTAATGCAATTTGTTTAATCCTAATTAACAAATATTTGTTAGTTTTGATTGATCCAAATGTTAAACTTTTTTTGTGGTCGAGTGCATTTTTCTCTATTCATTGTTTTTAATAAAGGATTTGTTCGAAAACTAATACCATTTCTTAATTTATCACAAAGCATGCAAAAAAAACTAGAGCTATCTAACTGCCAATGTTTTTTCCACTCAAAGAAAGAGTTGTATTTTGTAGAATTTGAACTAACGTCTAAAATATAATCAGCCAAGGTTTTAGGAGAATCAAAACTCATAGCGTCAATATAAGAACCTGGAATTGCTAATCTTGGATCAGAATAGTTGGACCCTCCTAAAACTATAGGTATTACGTCATAATCAAGTCCAGAATTCCAGTACTTTTCTGTGATATAACCATCGCATAATGAATTCTCTGCAGAAAAATAAAACTTAAAATCGCGTAGATCTTCATAACAAGGTCTTCCTCGACATTTTGATGAAAAACGCTTTGGAAATCTTCCCGCGCACCTTCCTGAAACCTCAATATCGACACCATACGATATTAACTTCAATGCAAGTTTGTTTCTAGCATCACCGTTACAATTACTCACAGTCCAAGCAACCATTCTTGTTTTGTTTAAAAAACGATCTTTGTTATAGCTTTCATCAACTTCTAAGCGTTTTTTATGATATCTGTAAGGGAACGGTATATCAGTATCGACTCCATATGTTGCGGAAGCATTAAAGTACTTGTCAATATTATCAACACCTGGATTATTGTATATAGACTCCATTGTAAAATAAATCCATAGCTGGTCATTTCGTCTCAATTTATTAATGCGTTCTAACTCTTGTATGGATGGCATATTACGCGAGTGAAACATCACAACATTACTTCTCTTGATTTGTTCCTTATTATTTGTTATTTGGAAGTTAGAAGTGTTGAAACCGCATTCAGATGAAGGGTGTATAGGAAACGGATCGCCAAAAAAAGTTGTATATATCAATATAAGATAACTTTGGCTTTGAATTGGTGAACCTTCAAAATAAAACAAAAATAATTTTAATGAAGCAAAATTAATATAAACTAAACATTAAAAAATATGTTATATGTTAACAGTGTTTACTAGGATAGGGTAGGGCAAGATACCCCTAGTGTATTTTTACAATCTAGGTTGAATAGCAATGCTTAATTCTATTCTTATAGATGCAATAGAGTTAAATAAGGCTTTTATGTTTTAAAACTTTTAAAAAAACTTTTTAACTAATTTGAAGATATAGCATGAACGGCTTCCCTAGAAGAATGTCATTATACAATACCCTAGGGCTTGAGTGTTGTAATTTATGGACGATCCCATGAGAGATTGTCCGTTAATTACGCAAAGCTAATTTCACTAATTTCATTAATTACGCTAAGCTAAATTTAAATGAAAATTGCCGCGTAAAAGAGCTTAAAATCTCCAACTTCTGTATTAAAAAAAAACTTAGCTTAACTTAAACTTAGTTACAAAAATATGGACCATCCCCAATATAACTTTAAAAATGTGTCAGTATATACATTTCGCAAGCGTGTAATATATGTGCATAATATTTAATTTTCCAATGAAACATAAAAATAACCGGAAAAAAGTTTAAAAAAAGAGTCCGAGTGTATTTGCACACATCCAATAATAACTTTTAATGCAATTGTAATTACATTGGAAAATTTAACTAAAACTTTAGTTTTTATTTCTCTGTTGTTAGAAAAATGAAGCACAGTTTCCGTGATTTAGAAAACTTAACTAATATTTAGTTAACTTAATCAGCAACTACAGCAAAAATATAGCTGAACTTACTAATGATTACTTGTGAGTGTTAGACACGAAACTTACGGCAGCAATTACACTCGAGAAAGATTCGTTGAACTTTTTGTTATTAGAAAATGTGAACAAAAGTGTATTAAAATATTTATGTTATCTTAAAAATTTGTAATGTAAAAACAAATATAAAGTTTTTTGAAATTAGTTTTTCCAGCTGGAAATCATCAAAAAAATTTATGTCATGAGATTTATAATATCAGAGTATAAGACTTTAATGACTTTTTCATTTACTATATATATAAAATGAAGTAAAAGAAAAGTGAATCTTACAAGATATCGAAGTTATTCTATGTTATCACAATAACTACAGATGAGTGCAGTTTGATTTAAAAACTCTGAAGAAACATCATTAATGCATTATATAAAATGTCTGCAACTAACTTGATGTATTATTTATTTTATGCATACATATGCGTTAATTTGAAATTTTCTATCGTCTAAATGGAGTCTTTCGTCTAAATTTCTATGGTATAAATGAAACTTTATCTAAATTTGAACGTCAACTTTTAAAAATATAATAGCACAACAACTGCAATGTTGTTATAGTGACCAATTATAAACAGCTCAATGTACTCAATATTCTTTTCATTTGAATATTCTTCATTTTAAATATTGTTCAATCTTTTTACTTTTTACTTTCATTTTTTCAAAATATTTTTGTTCAACAAAAAGGTTCTTTTAGTAGAAGTTTTTATTTTAAAAATAATTTCAAGGAGTCAAAGGTCAAGATATAAAAAAGGTCAATATGGGAAGCTCTTTACAGACGCCGTGTCCAACCTGTATTGAGAGTTTAGTATAAATGTGTAGAATCAATTTATTTCTAAACTGTTAATAGATAACTGTTTCTTGTTCGAGTAATATTTTGCATATTGATAAGTGTTGTAGCTAACTGAACTTCAGTTTTTTTACTTGGATTTTTTATTCATTATGTTAATGCAACAACTACAGACAATGGTTCAAACTATGTAAATGCCTTTAACGAGTTTAATTTAATCGAGTAAGAAAAACAGAGAGAAAAGGTGGATCCTGAACGGGTCAACTTGATGTTTTTCTTGTTAGAGGTAATTCTAGAAAGTTGCAATGATGATATCGTTCTACCAAAGTACCGTGGGTTGTGCAGCTCAAACGATGAACTTGCTTGCTTTTAAGGTCATCTAGATAGTGCCACGTTTGAATTTAAATTCGAGATCATTGTTCTGAAAGGGACAAGAATATGAAATGTCTAATGCCTAAAATAGGAGGACTGTAATGGCAAATAACATCAAGGCAATTTTATTAAATCTGGTTTATTCTGGTTTACTTTTAGTTAAATCAATTTAATCAAGCTGTTTTGTTTCATAAAAAAAGGGAAATAGAGCGAAATAAACAAAAATGAATAAAAATTCGATTGAAATTATGAATGAAAAGTGAAAAAAGAACAAAAATAAGTAAAAAATTTTTGTTTACCATGGCTTATTAAATAAATTCAAAGAAATTCAAAGATTGAATAAACTCTCACTCGCGAGTTTCAATAAGTTTTTTTTTTCTTCCTTTCTAAAAATTTTTTCTTTCTAAAGAAAAATTTTTTAGAAAAGACGCCTTTGCCGCACTATAGTGCCTACCTTTGTGTGGACGTAGATTATAATCTACGTCCAGACAAATATAGCCTAGAGCAACATCAAAAAGTAATTTCATACTTTAAAAAAAACAACCTTGAATCCATTTCAAAAGAAAATTAATTTTCCGGGTCAAGTAAAAATTTCAGTTGTAAACAAAAAAGCAGACATTCAGCTGGCTATGTGTATCTGTTGTCACTCAGCAATTTCAACTGCTGACTATTTGTGTGAAATTATTTCTAAGTTTGGTGCAGGCAGTCCCCTGGAACATCTAAAACTCAATCGCATTAAGTGCACTAAAGTAATCCAATATGCCATCTCATCGACTCTAGAAGAAGAAATTTCTAGAGAAATCAATTCAAAACCGTTTTTCATTCTTGTTGGTGAATTAACGGATGTGAGTTCAATCAAGTACCTTGCAATATGCGAGAGATATTTTTCAGAAAATGAGAAACAGATTGTCGATGACTTTCTTGGCCTTATTTAAGTAATTTTAACAACTGGCGAAGATCTCTTTAATGCTTTGAATTATAAACTCCACTCTATTGGATTAACTCTTAAAATCTGCATCGGATACAGTTCAGCTGGTGCTTCAAATGTTATTGGCATACATAACTCAGTCTGGTCTCGTGTACTAACTAAATCGTCTAACTGTATTATGATGAGGTGCATTTGTTACTCATTAAATCTTGTGGTACAAAATGTTTTAAATGCAATTCCATCTCCAGTCGGCTTTCTTCTGAGCTCGGTACCCCGGTTTTTTAACAAGAGCATTCTTCATCAAAACAAGTATAAAAAACTATTTGAACTCATGAATCCAAACAATGAACGCGTTAGAACCCTATCCCCTTTTTAAAAGTTTTCTGCAACTCGTTGGTTGGTTCGAGGAAAGTGTTTTTATAACTTGCTTGTAAATTGGTAAGAACTAAAAGCATTCTTTATTTGTGCTGAAATGAATGCAAACTATGATGTCCGTTACAAAATCTCTTCAATAAGCAAAATGTTCCAAGACAGCAACCTTTTACCTCTATGTTGTTTTTCTCACTCCAGTCATTCAAGAGTTTGAGCGTCGAAACTCTTTCTTTCAAGGGTCAAATGTTGATCCAGAAGATCTAATGAGTGAGCTAAATATGCATCTCAAAAGTTTAAAGCAGCCTGTTTTTGATACCAAGGGCTTTTAATTTCCTCTTCAGTGTGTTAATTTTGGAGCTGAATTCTCCTCAGAATGCCAGATTTACATTCAAGAGCAACCTTCAAATGCAAAAATGAATGCTAAAGAATCAGTCAAAAATGTAAAAATTCGCTGTCATGATTTACTTCAAAGGGCTATAAGCGAACTTGAAAAAAGACTACCAGAGAACAGATCAATTTTTCACGGCTTGTCAAACCTGTCTCCAATGAAATTTTGAAATGAATGTTTTTTCCTAAGTTGAAAAGGTTCCATTATCAAAGCTACATTTTCCTCACCTAATGGGTACAAAAAGTCAAGAAATTGAAAACCAATACAGAAAAGTCAGTATCATTGAATGGACTGAGTCTACAATTATTTTAAAAAAAAAAGTTCCTCAAAATACTGCTGAATTCTGGATAGCTTTAAGGGACTATGTCGACATTTTCGGACATCCCACTTTTTGCGACATTTCCGACTACTTGCTTTCTTGTCTGTGTTTTCCTATTTCTGACTGTTTTGTTGAGTTTTTTCACAGGTCAGCTATGTAAAAAGCAAACAGAGAAACAGAATGTCAAACCAAGTGTTGGATGCAGTCATTTGAATAAAATCTTATTTAATGAGCCAAAAGATTTGTTGTAAAGACTTTAACATTCCCGAATCAATGATTTCAAAGGTCAGAAATGAAATTTACGCAACTGAAGCATGCGAAAATTAAGACGACCTTCACGTATTGGCGGAACTTTATTAAATGTTTGAAGATTTACACTTAACAAAATAAATTTTTAAATAAAATAGTTCTACTTTACTTAATTTTTGTTGTTGCTGTTGTTCTGGTTTATTTCTGGTTTATTTTTTATATATTTTCGGCTCGTTGCCGAAAAAAAACCTGGCAAGCTTGGTAGCGGTACGAGTTTTTGTCCACAAAGATGCGGAAGCTAGCGATAGTGCTTTAAAATAATTGGCAAATATGCCCAGCTCTGATACACAATAAAATATACAAAAATATAACATATAAAAATACATAAAAAAAGACTCAGTACTTTTAGTCGGAAAATTGGGGAATTTGAGTAAAATTTAGCGTTTCATAATTCATGGACGATCCCTTTTGTATATTTTGAAGTTAACAAGTTTAATAACTACAGCTTAAACAAAAAAAAATTTACAAAGCTTAACATATGATGCAATTTATTAACTAGTAAATATTTTCTGATAAGTTACAAATTATATAAACGCATATAAAGTTCTTTAATTTTTAGCGAAAAGCATTAACGCACATTTGCTTCGTAGCAAGACTTGATAACAAGTAAATTGTGTTTAATGATATGAACAAACGTAAAAGAAAAGTGTTTTACGTTTATATTTATAAATTATATATATATATATATATATATATATATATATATATATATATATA